GCGCGACAAAACTTGCCGATAATATTAGATGAGCAAACCATTAGAAATTGGCAACGCAGCAAAACCGGTAAAGAAATTTAGTTTGCGAACGTCTAATCGTATAGCTCTGAAATCGTCGTGACGAGAGCGACGGCTTCGTCGTTCGCTGAGTCTATTTTAGACTGTCGCGCACGTTCGCGTTTGTTCCGCGCTGGAATCATTGAGATCCACACGAGTATACACAAGATTCCCCTCCCCCCGCGGGGGAGGGGGTTGTAGCAGACGCTCCAGAAACGGCCGAGGGTGTTTCATCATCTGTACTGCGACCTGGCCCGAGAGCACTGATATATATTATATATATATATATATATGCCCTCCGACACTCGACTTCCGATATTTATTTAATTCTCTGCCCTCTTCCTTCCTTTCTCTCTCTCTTTCCCTCTCGCCTCTCTCTCTCTCTCTCTCTCCATCTCTCCTCCCCACCACTGTCTCTAGTATCCTAGCTCGTTCACTCCGTCTTATAATGCCATGACCTAAACAATGCCGGGCTGACGTCATGCACGTCGTCATAACACCAGCATACCAAGCAAATATATGACGGAGCATCTGTCGAGTATTGTCACTACAAACGCCTGTCACCGCAAACATTGTCACCGCAATCCCCTCTGTCACCAAAACGCGCTCGCACGCACAGCCACGCAGTGCCTATGTGTCACTATGACGCTGTCACTATAATAATACTCTTCTCTAAGCGTGACATAACAACATGCACATCGACACATAAAAGCCGTGTTTGCATCTATTTATCATCGACATATAACATGCCTTCACCGCCCGGCTGTGGACCGCAACACAACGAGGACGACACATCGAATATAATTAATTAATTAATTAACCAGGGCGAAAATTTGTTGCTGTCGTTAATTAGCAGTGGAAGGAGTCGTCGTTGTTTGTTGTTGTTGGCTTTGTTTTGATTAATTAGAACGTGAAACGTTGCTGCTATTTGCTCTCTGCGACCCGCGCGCGTGAGCCAGCATTCACAGTGTTGTTAGTATAATGGCAGGTGAAGAGGAGAGCGCTGCGAAGCCGGAGAAAAAACAACATAAGTGGCGCTTCTGAAGTTCATTATTCTTTGGAATTGTGTGCTGCTTGTCGTAAAATACCGGTTCGATTTACACAGCAGATGTATGTAAAACACAGCGCGGCCATAGATAGACTGCGACATGAAAATTCCTGTGTGCAACGCTGCTGTAAATTAACTGGTTTCTACTCTAGGCAAGAGATGAGCGCAGAGAAGAGAGAGAGAGAGAGAGAGAGAGAGAGAGAGAGAGAGACAGAGAGAGCGTGCGTGCGTGCGTACGTGTAGTTCCATTACTTGCATTCGAGTAAAAGCAGAACGGTGAACTATAGAACTAAGGCTGGCCGTCTTAGCACGCTCGCATAAGTGGATCAAGTCTATCAGCTTGGAAAGAGCTTGATTGCAACAGCTTATAATGTAACAACATTTATACGCACGCGTGAGCGCCGCAGAATGAAGTTTTCGCAGAAATCCTCAAATCTTATTTCACCTCGCAATTTTCGAATATCTGTCGCGGATAATGTTCGGAGAAAATTTGCTTTTGATTATTAACAGCATCTTGCTCCGGACGGCTCCATGTCGCGTTCTTGCAATCTTCGATTTTGTGAAGAGCTTCATTATGATGCTGATGCGTTGTTCTAGTATTTGCGGCGTTATTTGCTAGCAGAGTCCGCTTACTGTCACGCCATGTAGTACTGCATTGATAATTAAATAATAATTATAATAATTATATATCTGAAGCTATTAGCTGCAGGAGTGTGTCTGTGTTAGGTGATGAATCGAAACAGATCCGGGTTTTGAAATTCCAAGCGAGTGTTGATTATTCATCTAATTGATTGTTAATCGTCTTGATTGTTAATTTAATACGCAGCAATTCGGTGACAGTGGGCGCCTGCATGTGCGACCCGTGCGACGATGTATTGATATTGATGTGAACGACTGGCGTAGCACAACTAGTGAAATGTTTACGGTTTCAAAATTGCAGTTGATCTTAAATCACAAATGTGTGTGTGTGCGTGCGTGCGTGCGCGTGGGCGTGCGTTTGTGCATGTGTGTGTGCGTGTGTGTGCGTATATATATTATATATATTCTCTCGTCTAGATGGGCGGTGCGGTGACGGCGGTGGCAGCAGCGGCGAGGATGATGACGATAGCATCAGTAGCAGCATGCCCGTCAGAGTGCTCAGCTATTCGCAGTACTGTCGCTACAGAGCACTGCTCAGACGCCTCCATGGCGTAGCTCACCTGTAAGTACATGCTCCCCCCCCTTCTTCTTGGCCCTTGGCCTCTCTCAATCTCTCTTTCTTTCCTCTCTCTCTTTCTCTGTCTATCTCTCTCTCCAACCTGTCCTGCTCTTGCTCTCTTGCTCTCTTGCTCTCTTTCTCTCTCTCTCTCTCTCTCTCTCTCTCTCTCTCTCTCTCTCTCTCTCTCTCTCTCTCTC